CCAGGCCACTACAGAGGGGGAGCCTTGACTAGAGCTCCACACTGTGTTTTGTAAGCCAAGCTTATTTTACTTTATTTAAAGCGAGCAATGTCTTGTGAAGAAATCTGATTCACTGCAAAATAAAAGTGTAAACACTGGACTCCACCAAAACTACCTTGTAAAATTGCTTGTCCAGATCCCTTCGGGCTGTAACAGAGCATCATCTTCTCTTTCATGGACTGTCGCGGAGTCCATGTTCTTCGCTTCCCTATTAGTAATTCAAGCCCAGGCTCCTCTAATAGGCAAGCCCACCCTGATCAAAGAGTGTTCAGAAGGCATCAAGCAAGGCGAGGTCCAGGGTCCCTAAACTGGCAATGGGATAAAACCAATTTCTAGAAGGATTGCAGGCTAGAGGGTCAATAGAACAGAAAACAAAAGCGCCAAAGAGAGCACCTTGGACTTGTGGCACTGTCCTTGGTGCTGAATGAGATGTTTTTCAAGCTATATGCATTAAGAGTATTTACAACTAACTACAATGGGACAATAAATAGTGAATGCCACAAAATCCATATTTACAATGAACATGCTTATCATTAGCACCCAAAGGACTTCATATTCGGAGAAAAATGAAGACCAGAACTTTTTATAATTTATACTTCTCAGGGTTCCCCCCCAACATTCAGTTGGAATTCTTTAAATAGATAAATGTGTTATTCTGAATTTCAATATGAAAATACAAAGATGGACTCTATGACTTGACTACATTAACATTAACTGAACACCCAGAAGGTACCAGGTATTGTATCAGGCATGGAGTGACAAGCCTATGCATAGTATGGGCTCCTTAAAGCAAAGGCAGCAACTAATCTGCAAGACAGAAAATTCATGATCCAAATGTTCTTCCTCTGCAGCTTTTACATCAATAACCTAAGCTTTCTCTTCTCTAAACTTCTAATTCACAAAAGATCTCCAGCCCTACTGTCACTGGAGAAGTATCTGCTCTAGCAGTTTGAAGTTTTTTAGATTGTTCTTCTTTATGGTAATGACAATATAGAAAGAGAATCATTCAAAGTACTGGTTTTATGACGTGTTTCCAAGATGAGAAGGAAAAAAACAGGGATATTCCATAACAGCACTTTGTGTTCTCTGTCCTGTAGAAATAACTTATCTGTTTCATCTCTATTTGGAGAACATATTCATTCAGATGCTGCAACCCAATTATTAATGTGACCATAAAATTATCAGTGAAGCCAAACCCTACAGCTTGGAAGCTTCAAGGACAATTAGATGGATTATCAAAGCAATAAGCACAATGGATTACATAGTTTTAAGCCCTCTATTGAGAACACTCTCTTGCTTAATAAAATTTTAGCAGGCATACCCTGATTGACATCAGCTGCTGGCAGCCGCCTGTGAATTAACCACATGACAAGGTCAACACTTTAAATTTTATTCACAAATTAATCTCCTGCTGACATTCATGGACTCCAAACAGTTGATTCCTTTAAACAAAAGGAAAATCCTAAACAAAACCTCACCTTCATGGTAATGAAATCCTGAAAATAATTCTCACACATGGGAGAAACATACATATATTTAAAAATCGACAGACCACCCATTATGTTTTCAACAAGCTGAAAAAAGAATGACCACAGATACGTCTCATTACAAAGAAAACATGACTCCTCTGCTTCTTAACCAACAGACATCAGCCAAACCATGCCATTTTCTCCAGAACTGGTGAACTGGGTTGGGTTGTAAATAAAAGAAGCGGGAGAAAGGAAATTGAGTGAGCGTGATGTTATAGAAGGAGAGGATTAAGGGTAAAAGTCAAGAAGTGTTTCCATGTCATTCAACCACCTGTAGGAAAAACTCTACAGTGGCTTCCCCTTCAATTTAAAATAATGCCCAAAGGGCTTTTCATTTTACACACTTCTTCATCTGTCCCCCTTTCACCTGCTGCATCTATTCGAGGAGCACTGGCCTTTTTTTCTGACTTGCACACAGAGGAGCAACATTCCCACTGCAGAATGTTAACACATGATGGTCTTTGTGCTTGCAATGCCCAACCCTGGATCAACAGATGACTGACTGCTGTTTTATTACCATCAAGGTCTCACTAAAAATGTCACCTCCTTAGAGTTAATTCTAAGCCAAACCGATGTTTCACAACACTTCCTTGACACTCAGCTGTATCAAAAATTATCTAACTGTTCACTCATTTATGCCATTTATGTTGCCCATCTGCTGCTCCCTCTCCACTGTGAGCTTCATGAGGACAAGGTCTCTATCTTATTCGCAGATGTCTCCTGTAGAGCCTGAAAAATATTGGACACTTAGTAGGTGCTTAATAACTATTTGCTTACTGACTGTAACGGGGAAATATGTGTTTTCTATAAAGTGATTGGAGTAAAATATTTTCAGGAACGGCTTTAGAAAAGCAATTTCTTACTGAAGAACTCCAAGGTCCTAGAAGATTCCTCTTGTATATTTTAGGTGCCTGAAGCCTTTGTCCTGTCATTGCCAGGTTCACTGCCTATCCCAAGCTGCCAATTACGTGTGGTGCAGAACACAGGCCCCAGAGTACAAGCAAGGTGATGGGGAGCATCAAAAGCCTGGGGTCTAAGAATAATGAGATCCTGGACCTGAAGAGTGACTGTACTATCTCTGTAAAGTGAGGCTAGCATAATTAGAAGGCTCGGGGCTCTAGTGCAAGTCAGGCACTGAGAAACTTGTACACTGGGCAAGGAAGAAGTGTTGATGTTGATGAGGCTTGATAGATATTTGCCCTCAGGTTTAGGGCAGGAAGGTTCCATGAGCTTGGAATTCACACTTTCCTGTGAGCACAAAAAGAATGCTTTTAGAAAACTGTTAAGAAATACCCCTGGTTTTGCCCACTATAAGAACGTAAACTTTGGATAGGACTAGCACATATAAACAAGTATTAGGTACTCTTTCTCCTGACTGCTGACTTATACCCACTAGCACAACACAGCAGTGAAGCAGTACCTCATCTACAACCCAAGCCAATGGTTTAACAACACATTCAGCATGGACCATGCCACTGCTCGCACCTGAGCTCAAGGATGGTACTTATTTCACTGTGCAAAATGACCTTGGTCAGCGCTCAGCTTAGAGCCAAGCTCCAGTAACATCAGCTGATAGAGAAAGGCTGTAAGTCTATGTAGGGCAAGAGAGAAGGGAGAAGGGTGATGTCATGATGTGGAAGAGCCTTGGCATGGGGTGGACAAATCTGGAGCCAGGCGGGAAGGTGCAGGAAGAATGCATTCTTGGGGCTTGTCATCAGGAAGAAAGGGGTAAGGACTGAAAAATCACCATGTCTGATGAGAAACAAGGGGTGGGAATAAGGCGCAGGCTACTCATCCCCCTCTCCTGACAAAGTCAGCAGGAGAATGGAAAGGCCAGGTGTGGGGATCTGGAGGTGCCCAACGTGGGAGGTGATGATGGAAAGGCGACAGAGGCAGCCGCAGTGCAATTCCAACTCTGGTTCAAATATAGCAAATCACAGGCAGTGCGTGGCAGCGCTCTGGAGCAGAATGTGGTCACCTGATCAACAAACTGCACAGAACTGAGAGGTCATGTCTGGGTTTCGCAAGCCCACTGGGACAGTCACGGTACATCATCACAGACAATCCTTTTGTCAAATGTTTATGTAACACAGAACATAATGAGGAAAACAAAACATTTTCAATTTAAAACCCACGATGCAGAGAAGTTTACATAGCAAAGGGGATAAAAAACACCGACTAGCGATGTTGACAGAAGACCTTCTGTACATACTGGTACTCTGGTGAGTGACTCCTATACATGCCAATTTGCCCCCAAAGTGTTTAAAAGCCAATTCAGATGGAAGCTTTTCCCCTGCCACAAATTTAACATTCTGGTTCTCATGTCTGTGCCCGAACACAAAATAATATTCAGAAAATACACATATGCATGTTAAAAATGTCAGAGAGGAAAGGCGGGCTAAAACAGGAGGAACTGTCAAAGCGTAAAACACGCCCCCTCCTGTTCCTGGGTGACTGGACCAAGAGACGGTCAAAGCAACTCCAGCCTGGTCCAGAAAATTCTCATCATCAAACCTTTAAGTTTATACAGCCTTCAACAATATACTACAGAAAGACTCCAAGGTTATTTCTTTTTTTAACTGGGGGAGAATTAGCAACCTCCTCAACAAAGGCCAAAATCTGCCTGGCCTCGGGAGGCCGACAGAACTCACCAGAGAATAAAGCCAGGGAAAGTAACTCAGCAGTTATGACAATGGCAGTCAGGCAGTCCAATATAAGGCTTGGCAATTTTTTTTCTCCAAAGAGCAGGAGAGTAAATGTTCTGGGATTTGCAGACCAAGAGGCAAAATGGAGGATACTAGAAATAGGTATTTTCATTAAAAAGTTTCACCATTTTTATCATCAAAAGTAAAAGTTTTATTAATGGACACTGAAATTTGAATTTCAGATAATTTTCATGTGTCACAAATATTGTATGTTTTCAATTTTTTTTTTTTTCAAGCGCTTCAAAACATAAAATCCATTCTTAGTTTGCTGGACAAAAACGGGCAGCAGCAGGATTTGACCTTCAGGCTGCACTTCGCCAGCCCCTGTTCTAGCAGGACAGGCGGAGGTAGAGCAAACACAGGCCGTGGAGTCAGCATATGTGTCTGTGGTTGTTTCTTCCTCAGAGTTTTTTTTTAAAAACACCATAAAGCTGCACTGAAACATCCCAAATTCCCTGTGCTTATAACAAAATCATATTATTTACTTCATCCTGGAGCTGATGTTCACTTCTAATTTAATTTAAATATCATCTTAGCTGTTGGTGTTGCACGGGTTCTGTACAATGAAAGCGGAGACAGGAGCAAACTGGGAAACAAGCATTAATCAACTTCCATGACCATGATGAGCTTGGCATTGGGAAGGCATCTGATTTGAGGCATCTGCTCTATAAAGCCAATGACCCCCCCCAGCCACCGCTTGTAATGCTCTCCTGTTCTTATCTTGTAGGCTTTCATATCGGACGGGGCAAGACACAGCTAATTGTGACACATGCAGGAACAGTGCATGTATTATCTATAGGTATGTTAATGTTCTCCTCTTCCCACTTTCTTATTATGAGTGACATATGATGTTTACCCACAAATGCAAGAACAATCTGGGGCCGTGCTGGGATGATTCTATCAGACGAGAAGTGAAGGACCTTACTTGATTGTAATTCTAAGCTACCTCTAAATACTTCACCCTGCGTATAGAATCATGGGATATGGGAGCACTTGAACCCATTTATCTTGCAAATGTATCTTAGTGGTTTCAAGAATTGGTATAAGTTTGATGGCTTGCTCCCTTGGAATCAATAGCCATGAGCCCTGGGCTGTGTGTTCTGGAAAGGCTGTAAAATATAGGCCCTTCAGAGGGTATAGATCAAAGGCTAGAAACCACACCATATGTGCTAGGAATACCATGGAAAGACCTGGGCTGCTCACACCAAATGTGCAATTTTATTTTCTGGGAACTCTCAAGGATTCTGCCATTGGCCGGACTCGGGGCAGAATCCCCTCTCCAGAGCTCCTAAAGTTGTTCCTTGCGTTTTTTTCAATTTGAAGTTTGTTCATATAACTGACATCAACAATAATACAGCAGAAACTGCCAGCAGGAAGCAGCTTTGTTAGGCTTTCATCATCAATAATTTTGGATTTTAAGATATAGTCAAAACCTTAAGAAGGATTGCGATCTTTTTTTTTTTTCCTTTTTGGAAATGTAATTTTTCACAAACAAAATATGAAAGCAGTGAGAAATATTATGAGTACATTCATTTTTTTAAAGTTCAGACTAATTTTAGTGATTGGCCAGCCAAATTATCAAAAAACAATGATCAAACCACAACACCCTCTAAAAAGTGACTCAGTTACTGTCCTCTGCATTAAGAACACAGACATGGGGAGAGCAAAAAGGCTTGAGGCTATACAATCTTGGACCCATCAGGGTTCTCTCCCAAGGGAGATCCTAGATCTGACCATCCACACCTCTGATCCAGACAGAGCATCCCAGACAGGGCCAGGCTGGGTCACCTGGAGACTTTATCTGGGAGTAGGTAAAAGAAACTATAAGGGGGAAGTGTACCGAAGGCCACATGAGCGCATTCCTCACCGCAAAGGTTCTCAACCAATGGCCCATTTGCAAAGTCTGGAGAAAGATGTTTTCAGTTGCCACAACTGAGTAGCTGTCACTGGTATCTAGCAGGGAGAGGCCAGGAATGCTGCTGACATCCTGTGCTGCCTGCACAGGGCAGCCCCCACAAGAGCTATCTAGTCCCACATGTCAACAGTGCTGAGGTCGAAAAAGCCTACCTTACTGAAACCACCCCAGCCTTAAAGTCTTGTAAGAGGCACACACTATACTGCTCAGGCCTCCTGGCATCAGGCAGGGAAGGGGGGCCCCTACAGCAGCCTAGCCTGGCACACCAAGCTGCTGACTATTCTTGGCAACAGCCAGTGAGGAGGTTATAATGAGGCATCCACATAGGTCTTTTTTCAACATTTCCTGCATATTAGAAACTCAGTGATAGCAACAGATCGGAGAAGTTTGCTTCATGGGAAACTTTTCACTCCATTCATATTGCAAAGGGGAATTTTGAATCAACAGTGAAGGATTAGAAGGCGGACATAAAATTACCCTTCACTAACATCAGTACGTTAGCAAGTGTGGGATGTAGATAGCCTGACGTATCATCAGAGTTCAGCTTCTGTTACTTTGGAAGCTAAAGCTCATACAGTCTTTAACACAACCAAGCAACAGTGAGTCAGGACATCCAGGGGAGGTTCAGGGAATGAGCTGTTCAGCCTAAACCTACGTAACATTCTGTGGGTGATAAAAAAAAAAAAAAAAAAGAAAAAGAAAAAAAACTATTAGAACACTGTCTAACATCACTGAAATAATTTAAATGAATTTAGCTGTACATCCAGAACTCCTGTAAAAAGTGACATTAAAAGTGACTGAACAAGTCTGTGAAGGACAGAAATCTGTCTTTTCAGGAATTACTTGAGTGGTCACTGTTTTGAAGTGGCTCAACCATTACTCTAAATGAATCCCAACATATCAGCCACTAGTCCACGTGCTAAAAGAACTGAGCGACCAAGCACCACAGGAATTTGCCAAGATTTAGGAGGACTCATTAGGCAGTGGGTGGAGGCACTGTGATCACTCTGGTTATCTCATACGAACAGGGAAAATGCATGACGACTCATAGAAAACTTTTACTGCAGATGCAGTGATTTTACAGACGGGTGATTTTGGTGGCATCTTCAGAGATGTGGCCCTCTGTAGCCCGCAGACCTGACTGTCACCCCTGTATAAATGGGAGATGCATCCTGGAAGAGGTGGTATTTGAGGAAGAGTGGAGTTTTAGATCTCTTTTTCTTGATTTTTAAAATCACTCCCTTTGACAAAGTGGTCACAATGGCAAAACATCTCTACAACAGCCAGACCTTTGCTGCAAACAGAAGTTACCCCAGAAGGCTTAGCAAGGAGGTCCCAGGGCAGTCTGCAGAGTAGCATTTCGGCTGGACTCCCAGTGCCTCCCAAAGCCTTTATTTCATTGAGTCCTGTCAATGAAATAAACTAGTGTGAAACTCAAGAAATGAACTATTCAAATAAAGATTGCACTGTGACTACCAAGATGAACATACAGAGCTCATCAAATGCTGTTTCCTAAATTCCCTATCGTGTTATAATGGAAATAACTAAAGTTTAACAATTATTCTTATGGTGGTTATTATGTTGGATAAGAGCTTTGTGAGGTTGTAGGAAGAGATGATAAAGGGAGCTCACTTCTGGTCCATTAATTGAAAAAATCAATGGGGAAATCATAAAAAGTGACAGGTACCTAACTCAAACATGTTATTTTTTAATTTGAATCACATGAATTGAAATCTTACATTTATAGGATTTCAAGTTATGGCAGCCTTCTGAGGTGAGGCCCAGATGTTTTCTTTGAAGGTGGGCACCCCCACTATGATTCTGAGTTATCTTCCATGAGCCATACCAATATTCCTGTCTTTAGAGTGGAGCAAAGTCCTGTGGCAGAATCTGAGATCAGAATCCTCTGGATCCATACTTGGCCTGCCCCTACCTTTTTCACTCAAGATTTTGTGGCACCCCGCTCTTTCCAAAGCATTGAACTCATAGCAATGACGATCCTCTCATGCCTCCTTGGTTTGAACACCATTCAATAGCTACATCATTTCAGTCGTGAGTACTAATTGTATAAACAGGTCCAGGAACAAATCTAGCATCCTCTTGGTAAGCACGAAGCTTGAGAAGTAAGAACAGAGGGTCACAGGCCGACAGAGAAGTCAGTTAGTTAAGGGTCCCAGCGTCATGAGTGCAGTACACACCATGGAAGGACACGGCCATGTGGTTAATCTGTCGTTCATCTGTCAGGTAAGAGGGTTTCTGTAATCCTATCTGACTACCAAAGACTGGATTACTAGGAGGATACTTGGACTGGCTCTGGGAAGCCACGGGTCTGTCTGATCCTGCCCTGGTGGCTGAGAGTTGCTGATACACAGGGACAGGTCACTTCACTGAGCAAAGAGAAAGGGGAGGATGAGCAATGGGGATTGAGCTGGATGACTTCTCAGCTTGCAGTCAGCCCTGTGAGTCAACCCCCAAATGTCAAAACCTTCTTTAAGAATAGAAGTTTCTTTGGTAGAAAAGTGTTCAGAACCCAGTGAGTCCTTGGCCAGGAGAAATCACTTATTCAGGTGACCCTATAGCAGTGTACATGGGTGGCCACAGCACCTCAGAAGTCTAGACTCAAAGGGAGCCAGAGGGTGTCTCCAAATTTTAAAGGCGTTAACGAATCTAAGTCCATGTCTTGTCCTCGCCATGAAAACTTGCAGGCACGTCCTCCTTGAATTCGTGCATACGACTCTGTAGGAGAGATAGTCCCAGCAGCAGGGGAGAGGGTGGCTCAGGTCAGAGTCCTTGCGGTCTGATCAAAGCCTGGCTCTTAGGTGCAAGGGCCTGAATCCAGGAGTTCAGGAACTTTCCTGTGAGTCCCTACACCACTGTTACCTGCCCCCTTCTCCATACACACCATGGGATGCCTGGAACACCCTGGGATTGGGTAGCTTAAAGGAATTTCAAAATAAAGAAATCTTAGAATGTCACATGACTGTGGTTGTCCCAGAGGCTTGAGAACACGTGGGGCCATCATAGCTGCCAGCGTCCACATGTTGCAATTTGTCATACCCTGCTTTCTGGAAGGCCGAACGCCCTGGAGGGCAATGAATTTGACCCTGCCTGTCTTGCATTTAAACACTGCTTTTCACGCGAAACCCAATTACCCTCTCCTAGCAGCATAGCTATCCACCGTGTTTCCAGTAATGCCTGGCCCAGGGAGATGAAAAGAGTCCTGTGTTCAAGGCCTGGCTGCCTGAGGCTTTAGCAACATGGTCCTGTAACAAATGCGTGCCTTGGCCATGCAAGGCGGGACATATTTCTCTATGAAAAATAATTCTGTCATGGAAATATAGAGGACTAGAAAAAAGCATCCAAAGGACAAAAGGTCTTGAGGCAATTTCAGGGGGGGAAGAAACCACCAGTACGACAAGCGACAGGTTAGAAAATGAGCCCATGAGAGCCTGCAAGGCTGGGGCTGAGCTTCTGCCCTCTCTCTTGAGTGGGCGTCTGTTCAGTCTCCGGGTCCTCTGGGGTTGCACTAAGAGATCATCAAGGTCCCTTCCAGATCTAAAAAGGAACTGCTTTTTACAATTATGCAAGGGATGGAACTATGGGCTTCAGGAGAGACTGCACAGAAGGGTAAAAGTGTGGAGAGTCACAAGGCATTTCTCAGCTGAAAACATCCTCTCCTATACTGGCAAATCTATTTAGTCAGAGCTGAGCAACACTTCTTCAGCAGAGGATCGATGGGCCTTCTCCTAGACCACTGACACCCCAAGTGCCAAAAGTGGTATTTTTGAAGGATTTTGAGATGGCTGACACTTACATTTTCCCCTAAGATGACAGACATCACTTCAGTTGTGAGCTAGACCAATTGTGATACTCTAATTAAAACC